GCTGGGGAGGCAAAGACTGAAGGATTTCAAGTTCAAGGCAATTTTTGAGACCCTGTCTCAAAATTTAAAATCAAGAGGCTGGGGGTGTAGCACAGTGGTAGGGCAGCCCTGGCTTACCGAACTGCATTTTACATTATTTCAGAAGTATTTCAGTACAGGAAAGAAAAAGAAAACAAAAAAATAAAAGAGTCTGGAATCCATGAAGTACAGAAACCAGTTGGAAATGTATTACAATAATCTAGGTGGAAGATGATAATGGTTCAGACTACTAGGGGTGGTGTGAGGATGGGGAGAAGTGTACATATTTGGGAAGTAGGAGTAATAAGACTGAATGATAATGTGGGGCAGTCAGACATGCGTCAAGGGCAAATATCTTTATTTCTTTCTTAAGTAACTGAGTAGTTGGCAACAGTTCAGGGAATTATTCACCACAGCTCTTAGTCTCCTTTGTTAGGGATTGTAGAGACAATTTGAAAGGACTCTAGCCCTGCCTATGGAAATTTGGTCAAGTCCAACTCTCATACTGCCTCTCTGAACTGTAGTGGCTAACCACAGGAAACACTTAAAATGAATGTACAGATCAACCGATTACCCCAACAACCCACTGTAGGAACATTGGGCTGATAAGCTTTGCTCACTAATTTTCAGCTTCATTTTGTCTTCTAAAGCAAAAAAGATGAGCATCTACTTTAGGTACTCTTCCATTATCGTTTTGCATAGCCTTGCTGCTTTTGCTGGCCTTTAGTGAAACAAATCTGGACCTGCTTTACTCCCTCACTTTTTGGTGAAAGGTAATGGTGGTTATCTTGGGGGATGGTATGGCCTTCAGCCAGACTCAGAAATCAGGCTGCCTTGTCAGTGCTTATCAGTTTCAGCAGCTTGGCAGCTGTTGTCTGAAAAGCAAAGTACAGCTTTGGTGTATGCTAAATATGTTGACATGCATATAGGAACACAGTGCATTTAAATATAAACTTGGGATATTTGAAAATCCCTATGCTATGAAACAGCCATTTGCAAATGGCTAGCAGTCTACTGAAGATAGAAGTTAATAGATGAAATATAACTAAGGGTAGATAACATTTGATTCTAGGCTTGAAAGCAGTAYAACTTTGATTATTTTTTTTAAAAAGTTAAGGGGGGCTGGAGATGTGGCTCAGCAGTAGCGCGCTCGCCTGGCATGCGTGCGGCCCGGGTTCGATCCTCAGCACCACATACCAACAAAGATGTTGTGTCCGCCGAGAACTAAAAAATAAATATTAAAAAAATTTTCTCTCTCTCTCTCTCTCTCTCTCTCTCCTCTCTCACTCTCTCTTTAAAAAAAAAAAAAAAAAAAAAAAAAAAGTTAAGGGCTTAGCTGTAGAGCACTTGCCCAGCACATGTGAGGAGGCACTGGGTTCAATCCTCAGCACCGCATATGAACAAATAAAAAAAAGGTATTGCATCCATCTACAACTTAAATTTTTTTAAAAAAGTTAAAATAATTTAAACTAATACTTGCAAATAAAATAAGAATTTATTTAAAAGCAAAATGGAAAAACTTACCACTACAAAGTTAACTCAAAATAGATCAAAGACCTAAATACAAGAACTATACAATACTTAGAAGAAAACATAGAAATAAATTTTTATAACCTTAAATTTGGCAATGGATTCTTAGATATGGCAGAAAACAAACCAAAAAAAAATTGGACTTTATCTAAATTAAAAACTTCTGTGAGTTGCTGGGCATCATGGCACATGCTTTGTAATCCCAGCAACTCAGGAAGCTTGGGCAGGAGGATTGCAAGTTCCAGGCCACCCTCAACAATTTAGCAAGACCTAAGCTATTTAGGCCCTGCCTCAAAATAAAAACTAAAAAGGGTTGGGGACAAAACTCAGTGGTAAAGCATCCCAGTTCAATCTCCAATATGGGAGTGGCAGTGAAGGACGAAAAACTTTTGTGAGTTAAAGGACATTATCAAGAAAAGGAAATGATAATCTATAGAATGGGGAAAATGTCCGCAAATCTTATATCTGATAGGGATTAATTAACCAGAATATGTAAACTCAACCACAAAATGACAAACAGGGCTGAGAATGTAGCTCAGTGGTGTAACACAGGAGGCCCTGGATTCAATCCCCAGCACTGAAAAGTTGAAAGAAAAAAAGAAAGAAAAGAAAGTCAATCGCAAGTTCAAAGCCAGCCTCAGCAACTTAGTGAGGCCCTAACTAGCTCAGTGAGACCCTGTCTCTAAATAAAATATAAAAAAGGGCTGGGGATGTGGCTCAGTGATTAAGCAATCCTGAGTTCAATCCCTGGTATTACAGGAAAAAAAGGAAAGAAGGAAAAAGGAAAAGAAAAAGTCAAAGGACTTGAATAGACATATATTCAAAGACTTTGAAATGACCAACATACATATGAAAAGATGCTCAATATCATTACTCAGTAAGTCAGTAGAAAAATGTAACCACAATAAGGTACTACCTCATACCTACTAAGATGGCTATAAGAAAACAATAAATAATAAAAACAAGAAAACAATGAATGTTGACAGAAATGTAGAGAAATTAGAACCTGTGAGCATTGCTGATGGGATAAAGTGATGCAAACACAAAGTTAAACATAGGATTACCATAGAATTCAGTAATCCTACTCTTAAGAATATACCAAGAATTGAAAACAGATACTCAAACAATTATGTGTATAGGCATGTTCATAGCAGCATGATTCACAATACCAAAAGGTAGAAATAATTCCCAAATGTCCATCAGTGGATAAATAAAATATGGTTTATGCATAAGGTGAAATGTCATTCAGTCATAAAAAGAACAAAGTGCCAATCCTTAGTAAGGTCTGATGCTGTAAGGTAGTACTGATGCTACAACATGCTTACTTTTCTGGTACTGAGTATTGAATCCAGGGGTGCCACCTACCACTGAGCTACATTCCAGACCTTTTTTTTTTTTTTTGACACAGGGTCTTGCTAAATTGCTCAGGCTAACCTCAAACTTGTAATTCTCCTGCCTCAACTTCCTGAATAGCTGGGGTTATAGGTGTGTGCCACCATACACAATTTATAATTCAATTTATATAAAACATCTATATTAGGCAAATCCATAGAGATAGAAAGGAAATTGGTGGCTGTCAGGACAGGAAAAGAAAATGGAGTGACTGCTTAATGGGTGGGGAGTTTTCTTTTAGGTGATGTAAAGGGTTTGGAAGTAGATTGATGTAGTAGTTGTGCAAAACTGAATGTACTGCATGCACCTAATCGCACACTTCATTTTACCCCAATTTTTAAAAAGGAGAGTAAAATGGAGAAGGAACATAATTGTCCTTAAAATCTAAAAGACTACATTATACAAAGATTTCTGCCACCTCTGGGTAGCTCCTCAGAGCAGACTCCGGGAAGTTACAGTAGCACAACTCTGATATATTAAGGAAGAACTTTCTAACAATAGGGCTGTCCAGGAAGTAACATTACTCTTTTTTAATATTTATTTTTTAGTTGTAGTTGGACACAATATCTTTATTTTATTTTTATGTGGTGCTGAGGATTGAACCCAGGGCCTCACACTTGCTAGGCAAGCGCTCTATTGCTGAGCCACAATCCAAGCCCAGTAACATCATCACTCTTTACTGAGAGAGTGATCAAGTTGGATGATGATCTCCCAGGGAAGTTATAAAGAGGATTTCCATTTATGGGGTATGATGTGAAGATTTTTAAAAATTATTTTCAAGATCAATCTATTTTCCCTCTACCTCTGAAATTAAGCTGATTCAGTTTGAGGTTAGCTATTTACAAATGAGGTCTGAAGCATGGTACAGAAAAGGGAAACAGTCAAATAGAATAAATCTTAAGCTGCTGAAACATCAACCCTTTGGACTCTCAGATCAGAGTTCCAGCATTTCATCGGCCTGATGATGACTAGGGGTGGAGGGTGGCCTGGGGTGGGAGATGAATTGCATATTTACTCACTAAAAACATTTGTTAAGCCCTTACTATGTACTAGATACTTTAAGAGCTCTTATATGTAAATGTTAAGGATCAAATCCTCCTAAATTAAGAATGAGAGATAAGCAACCACGAAGAAAGATTATTTCCAAACCAGAGACCCTCAAAACTTCAGAAGTCTATCATTTGTGCATATTTTACTAAAACTTCATGTGATATTAACAAATGACAAAGTAAGCTCATCTAAGTGACACACCAGCCAAATTCGAAATGAGGTGTAACAAAAAGGCAAATGATTTGGACAATCTCTAGACTCACTAATGCATTTTATTGCGTGCTTGTGCAGGGAACTTGGAAGTTACCACCTGCTTTAGGCTGCTGAGCCCTGAGACCACTGAAAAGGAAGCAAGCCGAAGCAGGCGGGGATCCCCAGGGAGAGGGAGAGACCGGCACAGTACAGGAGGATCCCGGGGAAGCCGCGTTCCTGGGTGGAATCCTGCTCCCCCGGGTGCTCCGGGGGAAGCCCAGGCTGACCGCCCCCGGCCCAACCAGCAATGAAACCCGAGGCGCCTTAAGATTGCTCAAAAGCCTCTCCCTCCCTCGCTTGCTCGTTGGCATGTTTCTAAAATTCCCATCTGCACAACATAAACAGGAAACGTGCAGCAAAAACCCTGGCGGTGCAAATTCCAAGCTTCCAGCCGAGGGCGGGAGAATCTCATCTTTGCTGGTGGTGGTAGTAAGCAGAAAAGAGAAAACTTTCGAAGGGACCCCTCAACTCTCCAAGTCCCCTCCCCCTCAAAAAAAAAAAAAAAGAATAGTCCCTCGCTTTAGGAAAAATAGGAAAGGGGTACCGCTAAGCGGCACGGAGGCCTCAAAGTCACATCCCGCAGCTCAAGTGGCCGCTGGTGGCTGGGATACGCCCAGCCGCCCACTCCYGAGATCGCGGCCGGAGCTGCCCGCCGAGGGTGGGGGTGGGCTCGCAGCCTCGGCTCGGGGCCACGGAGCCCGTCCGGGTGGGGGCGGGGGAGGAGCGGGCGCCAGGCGCGGCGCAGGCGCAGAGCACACCTCGGTTGTCAAACATGGCTGAAGTGCTGCCGCTGCCGCTGCTGCCGCTGCAGGGAAAATGCTGAGCCCTCCCGGGCCGGGTGGGCGGCGGCGGCGAGGGCGGCGACGGGGATCCGCTTCTCGGGCGCGGCGGCGGCGGCCATGGCCCGGCTGGCTGACTACTTCATTGTGGTAGGCTACGACCACGAGAAGCCAGGTAAGGGTGTGGGGCGGGCGCCGCCCCCGGGCCTCCTTGCCTCCGCCCCCCGGCCGCTGTCCAGTGGGCTCCGCGGGGCCGGGCGTCGCGGCTGGGAGGCGGGGAGGCCCGGATCGGGAGGCAGCGGCGGAGCCGGCGGGCGGCGGCGGGCCTTGTTGGCGCGGCCCAGCCTCGCGTTGGGCATGGGGCACCCGCACGACGCGGGCGGGGAAGGGGAGGCCGCGCCGGCCGGGCCCAGGGCAGGCCAGCCTCGGGCCAGGCTGGGGGCCGCGACCCTCTCTCTGGAGGCGCCCGGGGACCAGGGTAGCGCCCTCGTGCCAGCGGGATTGGGCCCTGGACCGCAGGGTTGGGAGGGCGGGAGCCGACTGTATTAAGTTCCTCAGGGATAAACTTCTGCCCTGCATCCTGAGTGAGTAACGAGTGACGCAGGGGGCTGTCTTCTCCAAAAGGAAGTGCTGAGAGTCCAGCGCGTTGTTGGGGGCCTATAATAACCGCTCCTCCGAACGCGTGGTACCGGCGAAGGGGAAAGGATCTTTGAACTTTTAAACATTTCTGAGAAATGGTGCCCGGTTTTTTCAGGACAGACGTGACGGTCATTTCATTAAAGGCATCCTGCCCATCGCTGGAGATAATGATGTTTCACTTTAATGTGTGTTTTAATTGTTCTCTTCAGTCGTCATAAAATTTTCTTCAAGGAGCAATTTGGCCAGTTAATTGCATTTTATATTTTAATTGATGGACTTTCACAATTTAAGAGAGTTAGAGGTCCATGCACGTTTATTTTTGTTTGCATTCCTTTGTATGACTATGTAGGTAAACAATGTGATAAAAAACTGAACTGGGGAAGCACTTTTTTCCCCCCCAGGGTAATTCCAGCCTCACACTGGCAAGGAATTTTACATATCAGTTCTATCTCCTTCATTTTTCAGAGGAGATTCTGAGATTGTGTTTTGCTGTTGGTCATAGTAGTGTCAGTATACCATTGTTCCACCCACTCTTGATGGTCCATTGCCCTTCTCATTATTGCTGTTCTAAGAACTTCACCTCTTTTAGTGCAAATCTTTCATCTTTCACCTCTCAGTTATTTAACAGAAGGGGCTGGGCTATATTTAGAGTGTCTCCTGGTTTCAAAATTTCATTTATTTCCTAATAATTTTGCCTAGTTTAGTGTCTCCTATCAAGATTAAGTGTGATAGGAGACACTTTTGTTTTTAACCTTTGTGATCTGGGATCAAATTTAGGGTCTTGTGCATTCTAGGCAAGGGCTTCACCCAGCTACACTCCCAGCCTGTTTTTAACCTTGTTTAGTTTTTAGTGACATTGTTCTGCCTCCCCTCCCCACTTCCCCCACTGGAGATTGAACCCAGAGGCACTCTACCACTGAGCTACACCCCAGTCTTTTAAATTTTTATTTTGACACAGGGTCTCAATAAATTGCTCAGGTTGGTCTGGAACTTGTATCCTCTTGCCTCAGCCTTCTAAGTAGCTGGGATTACAGGCATGTACCACCATGCCCAACTTCTCCTCCCACCCCAACATTTTTAAACAATCATAACTTGAAGAAAAGTTGCGAGTATGGTACAAAGAATTTTTTTCCCTGCATAATTTAGGAGGAAGCTATTGAACTAGTAACCTGTCACCCCAGTATGCTTTAGTGTGCATTTTCTCCAAAGATTATATTTTCCTACATAATCACAGTACAAGCATCAAAATAGGAAATTCATACTGATACAGTACAATATCTAGTTATTTTGTTGATTGTGCTGTTAATTTCTTTACTGGYAAAAGGATCCTTGCATAATTATGGGTTGCATTTGATATGTTTCTTTAGTCTCCTTCAATCTGGAACAGTTCCTGCCTCTTCTCTGTGACCTTGGCACTTTTAATGATTACAGTTTTGTTATTTTGTAGAATTTTCTTCATTTTAGAATTGTCCGTTCTCTCGTGGTTAGATCCATATAGATTATGCACTTGGACAAGAATATCACAGAAATGATGCTCACTGCATCCAGTTAGGTGGTGCACAGTTTCACTTCATTATTGGTGATTTTCACTTTAAATCTCAGTATCTGTCAGGTTTCTCCACTGTGAAGTTAATACTTAATAGTTTTTGTGAGGAGTACTGTGAAACTATGTAAATACTTGTTCCTCAACAAAATTTGATGGATTCATTTATCGACATCTATGAATTCATGGTTTTCTTGTTTATTAGTGGATTATATTATATTACAGTTTGTTTTAATTTGTTACTTTAACAAAAATATCTTAAACTGAGCAATGTATAAATGACAGAAATTTATTTCTTAAAGTTCTAAACACTGAAAGTTCAAGATTTAGGCTCCTGCACATTTGGTTTCCAATGAGGGTTTACTTCCTCATAGCCATGTTTTCACTTTAACCTCACATGACCTAAAGGGCAAATGAGCTTTCTGGGATCTCTTTAATAGAGGAACTAATCCCATTTATGAGGGCTCCACCCCCATGACCTAGTACCATCACTTCCTAGTATCATCACATTGGGGTGAATTTTTTTGGGGGGGTTATAAACATTCAGGCCATACCAATATTTATTTTGGTGTTCAAATTATTTCTCATTTGGCCAGTGATAGCCCACACAGCTGTTTTTTTTTTTTTTGTTGTTGTTGTTTGTTTTGTTTTATCTTTATGACATGTCCTTATCATTTTTTTAGTGTATCTTTACTTTTGGTCATAAGATATTCCTGGGCTGGTGTGGTGGCAAATGCTTGTTACCCCAGCTACTCAGGAGGCTGTGGTAGGAAGATCACAAGTTCAAGGCCAACCTTGGCAAATGAGCAAGACTGTCTCAAAATATAAAAGTCTGAGGTGTAGCTCAGTGGTATAGGGCACCTGGGTTTAATCTGCAGTACCACCAAAAAAAAAAAAAAAAAAAAGATTTCCTGGATTATCTTTTTTTCCCCCTTGTTTCTTTGGTGAATCTCACCTAGGGGCCTCCTGCATGCTGGAC